TATATATATATATATATATATATATATATATATATATATACACAGTATAAATTGCTATGCAATACTGTGAACCCAAAGTGCTTAACAGTCATATCAGGATATCTCTCCTCAACCACCACCAGTGCAGAATCAATTTGCTATATGGAGAGGAGAGAGAGTAATAGAGCCAATTCAGTTGATGGGGATTATTAGGAGGCCATGATTGATAAAGGCCAAGGGAGGGAATGTGGCTGACACCGGGGTTACACCCCTACTTTTTACCAAAAGTGTCATGGGATTTTTAATGACCACAGTATAGTGTCGCCATCACTTTACTGGGGCGTTAGGACCCACACAGACCACAGGGTGAGCGCCCCCTACTGGCCTCACTATCACCTCTTCCAGCAGCAGCCTAGTTTTCCCAGGAGTCTCTCATCCAGGTACTGACCAGACTCAACCCTGCTCAGATTCAGTGGGTGACCAGTCTCGGGCTACAGGGTGATATGACTGCAGTACACAGCAAAACTGAAATCCGGTAATTAAAACCATTGGTTAAATTAACACAGCCATTGGCTCCCATATAAATCACTTTTCAAGTGTTTAAATGAACACTCTCTGAGTTGGAAAGTGAAGAATCCTCTGTGTTGAATTAACAGAGTCTTTCTCAATATGCATTCCTCTGTGTACTTGCGGTCCCATGTACATGGCATCAGTCACAGATGTTACTGACGAAGAAGACTTTACAAATGGTTATTTGTCATGAACACAGTCACCCGCACAACATTGTCCAAAACTCATGCATTAAAGTTAACCCTGATCAGAGTTTATCTATGTTCTTAACACAACGCTGTCAACGCGGAGACCTCAGTCTTCAAATAAGTTAGTTGCAAGCATGTACAGGGCCTAGCAACTGAGGACAGCTAAGCTAACATTAAAAAATGGTTGTGGAGAGTTGCACGATGTAATGGATGGGATGCACACGTAGGGTGTGACGAGACTTCTCAGTTTATAAATGTTGCCATCACTTATATTTACAGCACCATACCTTAATGTTAATAAAACAGTGCAGGATGGCACTGCCACTTCTGTGATAAAAAATGATGAATAGATGTTAACACTGAGACAAATGTTATGCCAAAACTTTTATTGACAATGAAAAAGGTAAAACCTGTTTAGAAATTTTAATTTTATTCCCATCATTATTATCAGCAGCTCCTGCTGCTCGTCCTGATAGTGCAAAATCCCCAGAGTTTTTTTTTTTAGCTTTTAGTATGAATATGTTAGCCTTAAGGTTATGAATAAGCTGGTGTGTTCCAAAACAATGACAAAATTCACATTTAGCAGATATAAGCATTAAAAAACACACAGTCTATCACTTCCGCTGAAATGGAAACGTCACAGAGCAATATGGGTTGGAAATGTGTGTTTGGTTGCTTAAACGCTCCAGTTCAATTCCGTCTTTCAACTGTACGTTGGTTGAGAATGAAATGACTAGAATTTATTCACACCGATACTATTGAATCAAACGTATCATCAGCGCTGAGACTCGCTTCCATGCTGGGAGTGGGATGTGAATGAGTGACAAAATACCTGAAAACTGCAGTATTTTTTATTGTTTTTTGGTTAAAAGCAACAGCATTATCTAAAGTCAAACGCCAACTTTGCATAAGAAGCTGTTCAGAGTTATCAAAATGAAAGTGACCCGAGTCTCAAAGGATCTCGTGGACTTAGATGAACTGGTGCTTCTTCACAGATATACGTGCAAGAGCAAAGTGCAAAAGCTTTTTCCCGTTTATCTTTGATTTGTTTATGATAAAAATGTTACATAAATTAAAATTACTTAACACTTAAAGAATAGTCTTTATTTCAGAAATGCAAACACATAAATCCACAGGAGAAAGTCACAGGGAGTAAATAACCAATTAAAGCAAACAATACTGAGATATTTAATACAAAGAGCAAACAAAGGGAACTAATAAAGACCAGCTGAACAGAATGACCAACTAATTACCTAGGTAACAAACTAAGAAATCAGGAGAACAGGGACAGTCAATTTTTTACTTTGTTCACTCTAAAAATGTGACATGTTGTGTCTAATGTGTTATTCCTCTTAAACAGAAGGGTGTTGAAACCTTTTACACACTAATGTGTTATAGTTACACAACTTGTGTCAGATAATATGTCACATGTGACTGTAGTCCATGTGTATTTGCCAGAGTTACTTCCTGTGTTTTTACAACTGAGTGTTTGGATGAACACTGGAACGTATTGTTAACTTGTTTTTATGGAGTCCAGTGATGTTTAATAAAGAGTTTGTTTGAACATTTGGATGTTTTAGACATCATGAATCTACATAGACACGCTCTTATTGAGAATTAACAGAGGTTTGATGTTTCATTGAATGTTTTATTTGAAGTCACCAGAATCATGATCAACGGCTCCTTTATTTGGGCTCTTGACCCTTAAATCTTCTTTTAGTTATTTTTTGGCTGCTGTAACTGTATTTTAATAAAATACATCTGTTATGACGATAGAGAATGTGATCAGATGTTTCTTGATGATGTAATAATCAGCAAGAACTGATTGGATCAAGTTTTTGAGAATATCGACGGTGTGCATTTATGTTCTGTTAGTTATAATGGTCTTGTGAAACTACATCATGCTGTGCAGGTTTCTTAAAAAAAATGAAAATGTTTTCAGAAAGTTTTGAGCTAGAGTAGAAACTGGTCAAACACAGACATCAAGAATCAGCGTGTGAATCTCAACAATGGTGACAAACGAAAAGCTTAATGCTGCAGTGCATGCTGGGAGTCATGAATGAGTTTTGTACTATGATGGCACCCAGCAGATATTATGACATGAAGCTTTTTGTTTGTCACCATTGTTAAGATTCATACGCTGATTCTTGATGTCTGTATTTGACTAATTTCTGCTGCCGCCTAAAACTTACTAAAAACGTAAAAAAAAAAAAAAAAGAAATATAAGATAATGTTGCATAGACAGTTAGATCCTATACCCACTGAGTATTTACAAATAAACTTTAAGCTAATCGCAAAATGCTAATCTTGCTAAACCTTTTTTTAAGTCATCTTTCAAATACCAGACTCTTGCTATGCCTAATAAAACTATTTGATCATAATATTATCATCTGATCGTAAGTTTCTCATGGTTATTTCCACTGTTTCAAATGTGCAAAATATATGCACAAATACAGCACACAAAGAATACTAATGTCATAGAGTCAAGGGTCAAGAGCCCAAATAAAACTGATACTAATCACGATTCTGGTGACTTCAAATGAAACATTCAATGAATCGTCAACACAAAACCTGTTAATTCTCAATAAGAGCTTCTGTAGATGTCTGACAGAAATAAATTGTTTTTTATAATAAATTGGTTATTAATAACAAGTGAAAGCAGCATTTGAAAAATACATTGAAAAATAGGTATGATGTGATTGGCTGCCAAAAAACACCCGTTAATCATGGGGTGGTGATGGCGCAGTGGAAAGGACACATGCCTTTGGTGTGAGAGACCCGTGTTCAAATCCACTGTGAGACACCAATGTGTCCCTGAGCAAGACACTTAACCCCTAGTTGCTCCAGAGGCGTGCGACCTCTGACATATATAGCAATTGTAAGTCACTTTGGATAAAAGCGTCAAATAAATGTGAATGTAAAAAAAAAAAAGTACATTTTAGAGCTTTCTATGGGATACCATATAAAATATACCTATAATTATTTTCATAAACACAAACTTCCCTCCACCCAGTGCTATTCTATCCAGTTACATTTTAACAAACATTGGGTCTCATTCATGAAACACGAGCAGAACAAATTTTTGTGTAAATCGTGTGTAAAGTGGTTCTGGCGTAAATTTTCGGATTCATTAAAATGTTCGTATTTTCCAAATGTTAGTTGGTACACAAGAAATCTACACCTGCTCCCAGCCACGCGTAAATAGTGCGCTTAACACCCGAACGTTTTGCTCATTAATAAGGCTGCATTTTAATTCACCTTAATCGGGTACATATTTGCACAGCATTTTGAAAAAATATTATATATAGTAATTACACACGGTTTTTCTTATTATGAGAGCCAGTAATAGCATCTGCGATGGTGGTCCTTCTCCAGTTTGAATACTATTTTTCCGAAGTGAACTAAATCGTTTTTTGCTCTCAAGCTTAATGTCGAACCATTTTCTTCTCACTTCTGGGAATGTTCGATTAACAGATGAAACTCCATTAACTGCATCTGTAATATGCTGCCAAGCTTCCTTTTTTTTTTAGGACCCGATACGCCACTATGTACGCTTGAAAATAAATGTGGCGTTTTGAATGAACTTCTGATAATAAAACTTCAATTTCTGCATCTGAGAATTTTTTTTCATTCGCATTCATGTCATAATATGATGCCCATATATAGTTGTCAGTCGGATTTAATGGGCGGGATTTATGGTAATTGAGAATAAACGTGCACGCGCATCCCATTTACGACTGATTGGAATTCATTAACACACACACATTTCACTATCACATCTGACATTTACGAAGTATTTGTGAATCAGGAGAAGAGTTTTCGGGAAGGTCTCTTTACGCGCAAATCACTTGCATATTTACTCGTATATTTACGAATGTTTCATGAATGAGACCCAATGTGTGTTAAAATCTACACAACATGTGTCAAAATACCATCTGTGTGTTGCTTTTTTAACACATCTCTTTTTAGAGTGTAGGATATATAACAAAAGCAAAATGCAATCTAGTAATTTGTTTTAATACACAATTTCAGCCAAATGACAATACAGATTAATTTTGAATGAGACATTATCTGTTCATTGAGTTACTTTTATAGTTTATTTAAAAATGTATATCACAATACCCATAAAACCTGTGGTCCTCCATCCTGAATTTTTTTTTGCATTTATATGATATATTTTGTATGAGTCGTATGAATATTTAAAGTAATATACTGTAAAATGTGTCCTTACAGAAGAAACAGTCAGCTTTCTAAATTTGACAAACAAAAATATAATTTATAACTCTACTAAATAACTGATTCTATACAATGTAAATTTATTTGTTATTTCCCTTTACCATGCACATAAAAATAGTTTTCAGGTTTTTTAATTTTTATTTACCAACATTTACTTGTAAAATATTGAAGTTTAGCTGTAGTCCTCAGTGTTGTTTGCATCCACAGCAAAGACGTCTGAAGCAGTTCCTGTACTGCTGTCTAACCTGGACAAGAAAGAGACGAGAGGAGCTGAGCCGAGCATGAACTGCAATGGAGTTTGTTTATATTAAACAATATAAAAAAGTTGTTTTAAGAGACTAGATTTGAATTTTTAGATGCATTTTTAGATTCTTCCTCATACTGTCTATAGAGACACTGAAATGGTTTACTTATAGGATGGAAAAATGCCTGACTTCATTATTGAGGACACAATAGACCAGGAAGATGAAGGTTCCCTGCTGGGAGTTCAAGATCAGGAAGAGGATCTCCAGCTCCTTCCTGCCATTAGTGAAGAAACCCAGAATCCAGGAGCAACCAAGAACCACAAACTGAGCCAGTGTTTTAAATACCATAATCCTGCAGAAAAACAGAAAAATAATATACTTAATGTGTCGTACTTGACTATATGTTTGTTTTGTTTTTTTAAATAGAGCAATTGAATCATGTTTGTTACTTGGTTTGTTTCATCTGTGAAACTTCAGCGTTCAGATTTTTGAGAGTTGAGTTCAGATTGATGATGATCTTGATGAAGAGAATTGTGTTTGACTGCAAAGTAAAAAAATATATAATTAATCCCATTTTTTTCCGCATTTAATACAAAGTCATGAGCAAAATTAAACGAGAAATGTGTTTACTGATAGTATCATGCAAACCGGTCCTAGAAAACTCCTGATGAAACCTTCATCAGTTTGAATCCAGCATCTGTTTGGAGGAAGATATAGTCAAATAATCAATGAACAAACATGGATGAAGATTTTGAGCAATGAGTCACTCAAATTAAACTCACATTTCACTTCCATGGCCTTTAGGATCCACCACAGCAGACATGGCCACCACAACCAGAGGAACCGTATATCCAATCACACACAGGAATTCATTGCTAAGTGCCTCCCTATTAATGGAGCTGATCTGTGATAGGTTCTTCACACAGATGAAGAGAAGCACAGCTTCAATGAACATCCACACAAAGCCGGAGAGAAAGAGGAAATGCAGCACTCCTGATATCACGGCACACAACACCTGGAGATCATGAGAGACGGTTATGATGATTCTCAGTGAGACTGTGCTGAGCTGTAGAGCTCCTTCATCATTCTCACCTTATCAGGGTTTATGAGGCTCAGGAACTGTTGTGTGAGCAGGAACAGAAGGTGAGCCAACAGAAGACTGATGCAGAGGTTGATTCGAGCCACATTATTCACTCTAGGACTCCACTGACAAAGGGCAAACGTCAACAGGGCCAAACTGAAGAACACCAGCCCCACGGACACACACACCAAATTCAACAGCTCCACCAGTGAGTCTCTCTGAGAAAACATGTCAGAGAACATGAGTGCCAAATCTGTGCTGTTCTTCAATGCTCACTATAAATGTTCTCGTACCTCTGGTGGGCGGCTGGTTTGCATGATGACAGCGAATGTCGACAGATGAACACACGAACACACAGTGTAGCTGCTATTGGTCTTTAAAACAGAACAACCATCTACAATCCACTCTCTGATATTCCAGTACACACAGGACAGGGAACCTTTGGGGTCAAACTCCTGCAAAAAGAAGAAAGAACATGCAGAAAACAATAAAAAAATGAATTTTCAACCCGATATCAGGGCAATTCGTACATATTTTACGAGTTGCCCAATTCGTATTAATTACCTACTCCTGAGCCCACCCCTACCCATCATTGGGGCTTAGACTAATCGTACAAATTCGTAAAACACTGTAAAAAAAAACAAAAACATGTGAAATTTACAGTAAAAAAACGGCAGCTGTGATTGCCAGAATTCTACCTTAAAAAATATGGTGGCAAACTTTTATGTTTTATGGGACTTAAATTTACGTGCAAAAAAAAAAAAAAAAACACAATGTAAAAAAAAAAAACCTGTGAAATTTACGTTAAGAAACTGGCAGCTTGGTTATAAATAGCCATTTTACTTTTACGACTTTTTAGTAGCTTGTTTTATAATGTTTAGAGTTTTATATTATTATTTTGTTGATTGTCACTGTTGTTGAGATTAATACGCTGATTATTGATGTCTGTGTGGGTCTAAGTTGTGGGTCTAAATCATACAAAATTAATTTTATACACTGTGTTTTTAAGCTTCTTCTGATTATCTGTTTCCCACTTCTGGCTCGCATACAGTAGGGTCACAGAGCTATTATACTCATAAACATGAAATACATAAAACAGACCTCATACAATAAAAGATAAGACTCTTAATGAGATCAGTGAATCACATCACTACATGACGATTTTTTTATCATCAAAAATAGATAACATGCCATAACGAAAGTGCTTTATAAAACACACAGTGAAAGCAGTCAGAGAAAATCTAAAGTTAGAAAGTAAAGGGCCAAGAGCCCAACTAAAGCAAACACTGATCTCCATAATGGCGACTTCAAACTTTATTATTTTCAATAAAGCATCAACATCTAAACTTCTGGTCATTCTCAATAACAACTTTTGTGACAAATTTGTTTGTAATACAATATTGTTTTGGTAAATTGCTGGCAACCAGAGCTGCCAGTTATCAAGTTCAGTTCCATAAAACCTAAAATATTACCACCGTATTTTTAAGATAAAGCACTTCCAACAAGCTGCCAATTTTTTTATGTAAACTTTAGTTCAGTGGCGTCAAACATAAATGTTTCTACCATATTTTTTTACGGTAAAGTACTGGCAACCACTTTTTTTTAGTGTACGAATTGGTTGTGACATAGTATTGGAATATTATATGTTTCCAGATGTTCATCAGTTCTCAGGTTGGACAAAAACACATTTCCGTCTCTCACTCTGATGTGTTTGAAGGTGAAGTGGACTGGTTTGGTGAGGTTAGTGTTGGTGGTTTTGGGAAGAGTAGCTGAGATCACAGTGGACATCATGGTTTTAATCGTGTCATTTGATGTGTTGAAGAAGTCTGGCTTCAGGAGATTCTCCATTGTGGTATAACTCAATAAAGCCACAGCAGCTGATCCTGTGTGACAGAAACAGAAGCTTAAACACAATTAAATGCATTCACTTTCTTTTTTATTGTTGTTAGTGATGTCTCTTTCTAGGTTTTTTTTATTTATTTTTTATTTAATCAAAGTAAAACATGTCACATACTTTCATCGTTGTTCTTGGCAATCCCAATGAGATCAATGTCCACAAAAGAATATGTTGTGTTAAGTCGAGGGATTTTATCTAAGGTTGCATTTGGTCCAACCATGAAGATTTGTACCTCTGATTAAAAAATACAATTATTAAATGAATTCGTATTAACAATTAGGCCATCTAGAAAAGTCAAAATAGTTTGGTTTTCACTTACCCACAGAGTCAAGAGTAAAACTGACATTGGCATATGTGTCTGTCGGCTGCACCAGCATGGACACCAGCTTCTCACTGGCTTTTAACACACGGTTTCCATCTGACACCAGTTTATTTGGGTCAGCTGATGATGGCACTAAAACCTTCTCTGATGCGTTGAGGACCATATTCCAAATTTTTTTCACATCCTATTTTAGTAAGCACATAAATGGGGTTATTTGTAAATGTTGAAACAAAAGAAAGCATTGCTATAGTATAATTTATGTATTATTTTGTCATTTTTGTCTTACGGTCAAAGGGAGCACTTCATCTGTAATGTTTTCTATCCGGGCAAGAAGATTTTCTACACATTGTCCTATGGTCTGACTCTGAAATCACAATTGAGCTTTACACATAAAACCAAAAACTAAAGGTGTGTACTGTGGACTATTTGAAGTCAAATAAAAATGAATTGCCCCAGTCAACACTTTGATCTCACCATGTGGTCACAACGTCAGCAATCTGAGTTCACAGTGGTGTAAAAGTGTAACCTCACAGCACTCTCACTGTGTGCTCAAACTATGACCACAATATGAGCTCATCCCAGCTAGACATGTTATTGTTCTATGAATGTTTTGAGAGCATGTTATGGTCTTGTAATGTTTTCTGTAACTAATTTTATTTTTGTTACCCAAATGCTTTTTCTAAAAGGTAGGATAACACTCTCTAAAAACATTGTACACAGCAAAATCACCAGTGTTAAATTAACACTGCTCAGTGTTTATATGAGTCCACACTCAGAAAGTGTTCATCGAACACTGAAGCAGTGTTAAAGTTAATGAGATAATAAAGTAATTAATTGAGTGATAATTGAGCATTATCGACGACACCTGGTGTTAACAAGCAGAATCACTGAAGGAGAAAATCGTAATAGGTATGTTACCATTATGGGGATCAGTGTTTGCTTTAGTTGGGCTCTTGACCCTTAAATCATTAACTTTAGTTCTTTGTTTGGCTGTTATACCTGAGTTTTACCTGCCTGATGAACAAAGAGAAAAGGTGATATGATGGTGTTGATTGTGTTTTAACATAATCAATAGTTGGCCTGAATCACTTAATTAATTAACCCTCTGGGGTTCTTCGGGTCAAAAATGACCCGAAGCGTTTAAATTAGTGCTGTCAAACGATTAAAATATTTAATCGCGATTAATCGCATTAATGTCATAGTTAACTCGTGATTAATCGCGTTTAATCGCACATTTTTATCTATTCTAAATGTCTCTTGATTTCTTTTTGTCCCATTATTTTTTTCTCATTTTAATGCTCTTATCAACATGGAAAAGTGGATCGGCTTGCTTTGTGCAAATGTTTTTTATTGAAAACAATATTGGCATATACTGTTCAATTTCACACAAAAACATTATCACTTGGAGCAAATAATCTCTCACACAATATAACACTGTCCATCAATAAAAGGGTGAAATAAATACTGACGAGGTCCTGATATTGACGAGGGGGCGGAGAATTCGCATCAGCTGTGTGTGTGTGTGTGTGTGTGTGTGTGTGTGTGTGTGCTGGCCATCATCAAGTGGTATTCAGACTGGACGTGCTGCGATGATGATAGCTCAGTTCACAACGACAAAACACACAGATCACTTTGGTCTTGTCAATGGAACCATTTGGCAACTTTTTAAAAGTAAACTTTCCATTCAGAATCTTATTGGCATCCATTTCGGCGTCTCACGCTCGTCATCCACTCAAAACTGGACGTTTTGAACGTTCCTATAACATTCAGAAATAACGTTTTTATAACTTAATGGGAACGTTATGAAAACATTCTTATAACCTAAAATTGTTAGCTGGGGAAGAGGAGAGATTCGCGATTGCACTGAACACGTTTTAAGTGCAGGTATATTCTCTGAGTGAGCCCAGAGAAAATTCTTACAAGAGCAGCGTGTATCTGAGAGCGCGCGCGACTCGAGCAGAGAGATTCGTGCTCGGCACATTATATTCCGCGCGCGAGCAGAGAGATTCGCGCTCGCGCATCCGGCTCGCAAGCCCAAACAAGTGTGTGCGGCGTGCCTGTTGTTTTGTTTCCGGTCTAGCTAGATCCGCTTGCGCTTTCAAAACGTCCTCGCGCGGCGCAAGCCATTGAAATGAATGGGTTTCATAGCGCAGCGGCCCGCATGCCGTCCTGTTGCAAAAGCATGTGAAAAAAAACCTACAAAGTTTGCTAGGCCAAAAAGACCGTTAATCGCGCGATAAAAAAATTAACACCGTTAAAATGGGTTTGCGTTAACGCCGTTAATAACGCGTTTAACTGACAGCCCTAGTTTAAATAAAAAAATGTTAAAAATCGTAGCTTCATCGGAATGGTCCAAAACTTGGTGACTTTTTTGGTACTTGGTATATGAACACCCACAAAAATTGGGGAAAGGATTTTAAAAGTCGTAAGTGGTCGTAAAAAAAAGTCACACTCAGGGTCTTCGGGTCAAAAATGACCCCCATAGGAAATGAATGGGAAATTGGCAAAAATGTGAAAATACAGAGTTTTTTTGTGCATACAATCTACAAAACAGCCAGGATGCAGAAAAAAAGCACACAACAGTGAAGGGGTGAATCTCTTAAAACAATGGGTGACAATTTTTTTTTCCATTTGTTCTCTTTATAATGCAATGTTCAGGTTTGACTGTATTATAAAGTAAAACTGCCACTTAAAATTACCATTTAAACCAACCAAAAAAAAAAAAAAAATTTAAAAAATTTAAAAAAATGACAAATATAGTCTTTGAGAATCTGTTATTATATATTAAAATCAAAAACCTGAAAAAATTAAACAATATGTGAAAAAATCACTAGAGTGTTTCTACCATAGGTTTCTACAGAGAGCTGTAAATCCACTAGTGGTAAAAATGTGCTATTGCGTGATAAAAATGCTCAGTGTGTCCACCAGATGGCTCCGATCTCATTTCGAAAATTGCTTTCATGAGGTCTAGACTTGACTCTAAAATGAAATACAGCTTTAATAAAATTTTTTTTTTAATTATATATATATATATATATATATAAATTTTCTATTATATTCAATGGGAAAAAATGGGTCTTAATTATTGCATAAATATTAATTATAAATTATAAAATTATCTCAAAACACCAAAAAAGAAAAGAAAAAATATTATTGAACAAAAATATATTTCATTGATTTTACTCAGATAAAATGTATCTTAATGCCGCCCTCCGGGTCATTTTTGACCCGAAGGTCCTGAGTGTGAGTCTAAAATGAGGAACCCCAGAGGGTTAAGAGCATAATTTCAGAGTTAAGTTTACCTTATGGATTATAGCAGCACTGTCATTGTAGAGTATGCATTTTTTTAGCCTTTTTAATTAAATCCACATGATCAAATCATTACAAAAAAAAAAACACCTTAAAAAGTATTTCAGGTAGGCACATACAGACATCAAGAATTAGCGTATGAATCCCAACAATGGTGACAAACCGATGACCTCTGAACATAAGCTCATTATTTATTCATGCAGCAATGCATGATGGGAGCCATGAATGATATTTGATTGGTGGCATCCAGAATACACTGCAAAATGCTTTATAATTGTCACCATTGTTGAGAGTCACAGGCTGGTTCTTGATGTCTGTTTAAAAAAGAAAAAAAAAGTTTTGTATGTGATTAAGTTTTAAGAAATTATTTGGGTTACATTGTAAAAGTTGCAAATATTATGATTTTCAAGGACAGTGCTGCTATAATCAATAAAGTAAATGTAACTTGCGCTCTATTCAGGTCAAATGATTGTGAGATAATGATAATGTTAAAACACAACCAACACCATCAAATCACCTTTTCTCTTTGTTCATCTAGCTGTTATAACTCAGGTACAGCAGCCAAACAAAGAACTAAAGTTAAATACTTAAGGGTCAAGAGCCCAACTAAAGCAAACACTGATCTCCATAATGGTAACTTACCAATTACGATTTTCTCCTTCAGTGATTCTGCTTGTTAACATCAGGTGTCTTCGATAATGCTCAATTATCACTCAATTAATCACTTAATTATCTTATTAACACTGCTTCAGTGTTCATTTAACACTCTCTGAGTGTGGACTCATATAAACACTGAGCAGTGTTAATTTAACACTGGTGATTTTGCTGTGTAAGCATGTTTAGTGATAGCATTGATAGAACATTATCCCCTAACATTCTAAAGTTTCCTAGCAGACACGGGACTGAACCTCTTTAAAGCTGCAGTCCGTAGCTTTTTTTGGGTTAAAAATTATCCAAAATACATATTTGATAAAATACATAACCAGCCAGTGTACAAAACTATCTGCTTGCCTTAGCTAGATTCAAAGCGGTAAGCTTGTAATAATGTTTTTAATTCCAGTGGTACTGGTGGATTTCCGCGGGAGATTCGAGCATGTCTTTGCGTCATTACGTCACATCTGTACACACACATCTGTACACATAAAGAAGGAGTCTCGGCTAGTAGGCTATATTGCGTGTGAGGATGCTGGAGGTGGAGATTTATAGCCTTTTCTCACAGCACTTGATATAATTAAACGTATTAATTTGATGGCGGATCCAGAAAGGTTCAAACGACGATCATCAGTGACAACTGGAGATTCACCCGCTGTAAAATGCAAAAGACTTCGTTCGGACTTCGGAGTGGCTACAGAAAAAAAGAGACAGTAACCGGACCCATGCGAAAACAAGGATATGCCTACATATCGGAAAGACATTACATGTAGTCACGCAATGCATGCTGACGTTGTTAACATTAACAAGTTGAGAACATAGTATAATTTGCACGGTTTTGCGGGATATGATAACTTATAAGCAATTGTTAGATTTAATCAGCGCGATTTACTGTAATGTCAGAACCAGAACAAAAGTGGATGTTTCTTTCTAGTTCAGATGACATTTTCCAGTGAAAATTCTTATGTTGGTCATACTTCCAAAAAGAATAATCTGTGATTCTGAATGACATCGACACCGGCGGCGACTGACAGCCCCACACTCTCCTCAAACATTGTGTTCATCCGCGCTGTGCCGTGTCGAGGGTGTTGAAGTACAACTCACGTAAAGTTGATAATTCCGTGAATGACTGCAATTGCAGATTTCGAACAGAGATGGCGATAAAGAGGAAAAACGCCAGACTGCAGCTTTAAAGAGTTTGTTTGAAAGTAATAGGTTGGTCACCAATGTGGAGGTCAGTGTTTGCTTTAGTTTGACTCTTTGGCCCCTTGACTATGTGATGTTTGTTTTTGCTAACAGGTGAGTGTTTGTTATAGCAAGAGATGTGATCAAGTATGTTGGCTACTTTTTGATAAAAAAGATACAATCATAATGAAGTGCCATTATTTCATCACTGGAGTAGTTTTCACCACATGTAGTAATAGATTCAAAAGTTTCCTTTTATACATAATATACACATTTTCTATTGTAATCATGTTTG